TGGTCTATATTACTGGTATCTACCACTTATTTCCCCGTGTTGTCATGATGTTTGTGCTTTCCAATTCATAGACAAAGATCATTTGAAAGAGTAAATAATTATAATGCTCCGTAAATAATTTACAATCTTTTTTTTTTCCTTTACAGATAAGCAGATCTTACGAAGCTCTTAGGTTTGATAATGTTCATAACTGTGTTATCCATCCCCACAAATAGAAATTCTCTGTTGGTATTTCTATAGGTTCATTCTTCACCCATTCTTGCACTTGAACCACTCTGTATTTTTGACTCATTCAAAGGCTTGTTAGGAATAACAATGCTCTAATTTTAGGAAGATGTTCAAAAGGAAGAAACTGAGAACCTAGTTTTAAAGCAGAGCTGAATGAAGTTAAGGAAGAAACCAAAGCAGAGGCTATCGCATAACAAAAGTCTTCAGTCCTATGTTCTCATAAATAATAAGAACAAATGAAAGCATCTGATGATGCTAATGGTGAGCTCTTCCTTGGGCTTAGCTAGAGCAGCCCCTCCAGGGCTATGCTACTAAGGCGACTAAGGAATAAGACCTACCTGCCAAAATCTTTTGTTTCCTTTGCCTACCTAAAAAAGAAAAAAAGGTTGAGAATCCCCAGCACTGCCTACAGCAGTGATTTTGTGTTATAGAAACCACAGCAGCTGATGCTCTTGTCTAATATAGTTACTGCCTCCCCATGGGTTTGTTTGGACAACAAAGAGAAATGCGCCTGTCTGTCACTGTTTTATAGCCTCTGGGAGCTGCACAGAAATGGACAAGGGATGTAGTTTCATTTTCTGTAGATTTCTCAGTTCTACTCCTCCTTTGTTGGACTTGAAATGGTGTTGTAACTGTGGTCGTTCTATTCTCCATCTCTGCTGGGTCCTCCAGATAGGCAGAGGAACACTCTGGGATCAGTAGAAAGGGAGGTGCTGATGTTTTTTTCACTTCTTGTGAGCCCGTATTCCTGTTGTGGGGTTTTGTTTGCTGTGAATCTTGCCTGCCTTTGAGAAATTTCCCCCTTGTTAATCCGTTTCTGCCAATGACAGCACAGATGAAACCAAACATTTCTGTATCTCCTCCAGTCTATGACAAACCTTCAACTTGTATTTAATTAAAGAGTGTACACAATGGCTTTCTTAGCACTAGCAGTAATCCTTTAACAATTGCTGGGACCCTGAGAGAAGGAAAACTCTCATTAATAAAGACTTTGGGGGATAACTCCACAGGAGAGTTGCTGCAGAATTCAGAGCTGCAGGAAATCATGCCCAGTAAAAAACTTGTTCGTCATTCTGCTCAGTGTGTGCTGGAAAAATGGTCCCTAGCAAATCCACCACAACTTTTACGTGGTAACCCATGCGTTCCAGAAGGGCTTTTAGTGAATGGGTGTTTAATGAGTTTGAGCTAACTGTACATCCATGATGGATATGCCCAGGAAAAAGGGGTTATTGTTTGCTAGCTAGTGTTTGCGTGACCTACCAAGTGTTGTGGTCATGCTTTCCTTTTATCTGTGCTTTTTGGGTGGGAAATGTGGATCACTGTGGTCCTTAGCCCTGTGTCTGTGTGGCCAGTTGCCACTGATGTGAAAGATGTCAAACTCCACAGTCCTTGTGGATGCCCCATCCCTGCAGGCATTCAGGGCCAGGCAGGATGTGGCTCTGGGCAGCCTGGTCTGCTGGTTGGTGACCCTGCACACGGCAGGGGGTTGGAGCTGGATGAGCACTGTGGTCATTTTCAACCCAGGCCATTCCATGATTCTATGATTCTATGATCCTTGCCTTTTCCAGAGGGAAGATAAAAAAGCCAAAGTGGGGAAGCAGTGAAGTGACTTCATACCAAGCTATCTGTAAAGTCTCTTTCATTCTCTTCTGGGAGGAACCCACCAAGGAAGGATTGTTATTCAGCCTCTGATCCCAAGAAGGGGATCAGAGGAGTCTTGTTTTGGCAGACAAGACTTACAGCACTGAGGTACATGGTTAGAGGACATGGTGGGGTGACTTGGGGTTGGACTCTAGGAGTTTAGAGGTCTTTTCCAACCTTTATAATTCTGTTTGTTTGGGTTGTTTATTTCCTTATTTAGTGAGTGTGGGGAATAAGCCATAAACCAGAAGGCTTCAAATGTGAGTCTGTTTGACCTTGATGATTCAGTTTAAGATCTTTTGCACTCTAAATTCACACATCGGTGACCTTCCCAGCCTAAATATTGGATGTTTTAGTGTGAACTTCAATCAGCCAAGGGGCATGAAAAAACCTTCAAGACTGATGCTCACAAGCTCTCTGTGGACTAGAAGGAGTGGCAAAAATCAATTGATACTGAATGCAAAGTGTTTACCCAACTAAAACGAGGGAAGATAAGTCCCACTGAGAGTAATGATAAAATAGTCTTTAAAAAAGGAGTTATCTCATGCTGTTTTTAGAGAACTTAGTGTATTTATGTAGCCTCCTGTCTTATGATGTTGGCCCATGATGTCAGAGGCTGATGTTGGTAGGATGGCAGTAGAGGTCGAACCTTCCCACCAATATTCCATTACTTTTTCTCTCCTTGTGAGTGATGGCAGCAGAGGAGCAATCTGATAGAATGGTGTCTGACATGGAAGTGTGTATAGAGCAAAGGAGTGTCACTGAATTCCTCCATGAACTAAAAGTGGCACCTGCTGACGTTCACTGATGAGCACAGTGAGGAGTGGGTGGTGCATTTCAACAGCAGCGTCAGTGGGTCACCTCTGCTGATGCAGATTTGGGCAAGCCCAGAATGAAGGCTTTTGATCATTGCTGGCAAAAAGGCACAGCAATGTGACTAGACTGAAAAAGAGTTTTGCAGCTGGGAATTTGCTCTAGCCCATAGTGCTATTGCGCTCTTTGCGTTGGTTGTCATTTCCATGAAAATAAAAAGGAGGCATTACTTTTGGAGCGACCTAGGCAATATATGCAGTCAACCAATTTAGGCTTGCATTTGTTTGTGACTAGGAGACATGGTGAAGTACTTGCTAGTGGGCTCAGAAGAACATTTGCAGCCTAAAAGAATCCTAACGATGGGTTCTAGCGCTTTGCCAACCTTGATCAAAGTTAGAGTTGTATGAATTAATTTATAAAGTGAACACTCAGATTGTTTATAAATGTGAGAGGGATCAGGTAATAGGCTCAGTCCAGAGAGTTTTGACTTTCCTTTGATAAAAGGAATGTTTTGAAAGCAGAACATTTCAATCTTTATTTTTAAAGTAAGCTCCACGTTCTTTTACACGCATACACACACATATCTATATCAGTTAAAATAAATTTCCCTTTTGGAAAAAATAAAAATAAAAATAAAAAATAGAAACATTTCAGTACCAGGACAGCAGCAACTCAGTCTCCTTCAATGTGCTGTTGTTTTGGTTTTTCTTTTAATTTGGCTGGAAAGTCACATTGCAGTAATAATTGTCTATATGCTGTTAATCAAAGCCCATTCTCAGCCTAAGGGAAATTATAGTCTGAGCAAGGCATGGACTAGAAGAAGGAAAAGATTAGGTTGGTTTAGTAAGAGACTGGATTAAAATTATAACATAATTTAGCATATTAATTTTTATTCTAAGTGTAAATTGCATCAAAGCTTTGTTCCTTTGGAGGGTTTCTGGGTCTTCTGTTTTACTGCATCGGCTGATGAATGAGTAGAAAAGTAGCTCTCATTTTGAAAAGAAACATGAAGAGTTCTTTTTTTTTCTTTCTTTCTCTGCTTTCATCAGACCAAAATACTTCCCCCCCCCCCAACTTCACCAACTGTGAAGGCAAGAATCAATGAATTTTAATGGAGAAAAGCTGTAACTCTGCCTCACATCTGTCCCTGAAGCTCACCTCACTCAGGGTTACTCCTGCATTGCATTTCATGTTGTCTGAGCAGACTCAAGCCAACACTGCTGCTCTCTCCACATCGTTTCCTTCTCACCGTCTCTTTGCAGTTGAGTTTCTGAACAGGTTATCTCCCAGCTCAACGTGGTTTGCCATCTCTTTGAAGGAGGTTGGGTTCTCTGTTTGATTTTGTGCAGCACCTGCCATAATGGGAAGTCTATGAAGATATGAGCAACAAAGTCATGCAATCACGAGCAAAAAGCCTTCTGAGATCCTCAAGTCCAACCCCAGCCCATCCCTACCATGCCCACTGACCACGTCCTCAGTGCCACATCTACCCTCTTCATAAAAACCCCCAGGGGCTGTGACTCCACCACCCCTGTGTGCAGCCTGTGCCTGATGGGGTGTTCCCTCCATGTGAGAGCAAGTTGGTGACATTAACATGACCCCATCTGGCTCGTGGTTCCTTTTTTGGATGCCAATTGTTATGGTCCATACTTTGTGACTGAGAATGCATGATGTAAGAGTCCATGATTAATTATCTGCATGTTTTAGACACTGATGTATTAAAAAAGCCAAATATAATTAGGTCTAAGTGGGGAGAAAACACTTAGGGGAGAGAAAAAGCCTTCTTACTGGGAATTTCCTGCTTTTTAGCTCCTTGATCTCCTAATCTGCATCTGAGATTTTGTTCTTATTTGGTTTGGGTTTTGTTTTGCTCTGAATTAGCATGAGCCAGGAGGCAGTCCATGTGGGAAGGGAGGGAATAAACGATGTAAGCGCAGATCCCACTGCTCCTGGCATGAATTTTAAAGCTGCCATCTTCCTGCCCTAGATAGCTGTCAGTGTTAGTCTAGTCAGGCAGGGTTCCCAGAGGATAAAGAAGCAGAATTGGTCTTGATCATCAGCAAAAAAAAAGTTTGTTTTTATCTTTTTATGATAGGCACAGAGAACAATGGTGTTTTTTGTTGGGTCTTTTTTTTTTTTTTTTCAGTAGGTACTGGATTATTTTCCCCTCTCTCAATCAAACGTAAAATGAGCCTGGATGCATATCCCCATGGTGCATTGACCCAGCAGAGCCTTGGCTAGCTGTGCATCCCCAGGAATGCATCCTGAGTACACATGGGTTTTGCTCACTCTCTCCTTTCCTCTTGCCCTTCTTGCAGGCATCCAGCACGCGCCCAGAGTGCAGCATCATGCTGGAGATTGAAGAGGAACGCAGCCAGTGCCTGGCAGAGATCACTGAGGATAATCAGACCTCAGGTATGGGAGCAACTTCTTCCATCTCTGACCCTCAGGCTCCCATCCCTGGATTCACATCTGCCTTGTCTGTGCCATTTCTTGTCCCTCTTGCAGCAGCAGAGTGCTGCCTGGGTTTGCTTTGGCTGATGTTGAGCTCTTATGTTAGGAGGGAGAGATGCTGATCCTTCTAAAGCACAGTTCCACCAGTTCCATCCAAGTATTTGAATAGCTTGATGATGATCACCCACAGGGGGGTGAACCTCAGCCATCTCAGGCTGTTTAATCAGAGTCAGTCACGCCTCTTTCTGAACTAGAAGTGTCTTAACCAACTCTGATACCTTTACTCACCTCCCTTCTTCAATGATAAGAAGAAGAGAGTCAAGTTGACAGTGCCAGCTTTGCTCTCCATTCTCCCAAGGTTTCCCCATCCCAGCAGCCAAGGATCTGTGCCTCCTTTGAGGAGAAGGCATAACGCAACATGAATTGGGCAAGTGGTGTTTCAGAACAGGAGAGATGCTGCAGGACATGTCTGTGAGGATGGGGGATATTTCATACATTTTTGCTGTTGAAGTTCCTTGGTAGGCAGCCTGTAGGAAGCTTGGGGTATTTTGGCACAGCCACTCGGTGCTCAACCCTTAATTGTAGAGATCTGAGTGACAGAAAAATGAAGGTTTTATTCTGGTCTTGTCCTGTCATATCTCACAGCAGTTAAGTCAAAGCTCCAGGAATCGGATGTAGGGGTGGACTTGTCCCCTCCAAGTGCCTCTCTCAAGGCAGGGTCAGTGTTTGTGTGTAAAGGAGGTGTAGGGAGCAGTGGGAGACTGGTGGGTTCCAAAAAGGGGAGATCACATCGGTTGGGGTGAAGGTAGGAGGATGCATATCCTGCTTTACATTTGCATCCTGAAAGGGGAAAAAGTGAAAGATGTCTTCTCATCCTCTTTCACTTGGCACTGCTCAAAATAGGCTACAGACCAAAGGGCTGTTCTGCAAGATGCTGATTAATGATAGAACAGCATCCTTGGGCCAAGCTGGTCCCTCAGGGAGCTTTATTGAATGCAAGGAAGGCTTTTGGCCCCTGCTTTTATCTATTAAGATATGTTTTCCTTTGATTTTAAGCATCCCAGTGCATTTAAATAGAGCTGTTTCAAGAAAAGTTCCCCTGGAATACAGTAAAGAAAGGAGAAGTCAGGGTACTTAAATACATCCTCTGAAAGCCAACTAAATGCTTCATTTCATTTTCATGCACACTTGGAGAAATTCAATTAAATGCAGGACATTCAAAATGAAAGAACAAATATTCGAGTGTTAATCTTTTTTTTCTCCTTTTTCAAAATGTTCTTCCCCATTGAAAAGTTTAGTCCAAAACGTGTTATGTATTGTTGTTTTGTTTTGTTTTTTTTCTCTCCACTGAATTAAACGAGCATATTTATGCTGATTCTGATGTCAGAGCACGCTCAGCCTTACTGTGTGCCATCCATGCCTAAAGCATAAGCAAGTGTATAAACACCTTCTGGAGCTTGTTTTTCATCAGGGAATGCTAAAATATTGGGTTGTAGGAATTCTGCATTTCTGCCCATTGCTACCGTAGTTGTTACACAAGATATGAGCACTGTAAGATGTTCTCCTCCACGGAGATGGTGGTTACTACTCCTGAGTTTGTTGAAATGGTCACCGATGATATCAATGTGGAACACACATAGTGTTCCACATCAGTAGGTATTTAACAGTTCAGTATATGAATTCCAGCAAAGAACTCACTTCTGCCCTTGCAATCATTGGAAAGAAGCCTCAACTTCTGATGTGTGATTGCTCCGGCACTGAGGTGGGTGACCAATAGATAAGTGCATCAACTTTTGGAGATGTCTATTTTGGAAGTGACGTGGACCAACAGCTTCTAAATGTCTAAACAGCATGTGTTTTCCTGTTGGAATGTCCAACCCATGATGTGTGAGCTCAAGTAGACTGAAAAAGCTCTTTTTTCTGTGCAAGTCACTAATTATAGCTGAGCACAGCTGCAAAATTCAGCTCTGATCTTTGGAGAGGTGGAGGAGAGGGCAGTTTGGTTGGCAGAGATGACATGGAAGTGATGACAGGAGATCGCACGGAGGTGAAGTTTATTTCCAGCAACGTTAAGACTGAACAATTTAAAAATAAATGTTGCATAAAACCTCCTAGCTGAATTCCCTAGAAAAGCATTAACTTTAACGTGGCTCAGTCTCACAAAGGAGGAGAATGGAAAGCAATTGGAGCTCTCTGCCAGTTGTAACGTAGTATCGTGATTTATGGCCAGGTAGGTGTATTGCCTTCTGTGCATTCAACATCCTGTTAGCAAGAAGAAAATCACTTGAGATTTAACAGCCAATTTATTATCCTTTCTAATTGAATGAGTGGGATTAAGGAAACGCGCAGTTCCAATACAGTCTAGAAATAAAGCTTTGTTTAGAAGCCATTATCAGTTGTATCGATTGGAGGGGCTTAATCACAGCTGTAATTTGTTGTGTCAAATAGATTAGTCATTTGTAAAGAACACCTGATGGTAATACTGAGATTAATCACTAGCTCAGGGTAAGCAGGTAGATTTCCACTGATAAACAATAACATCTGTCTTAACACTGTTTTGTGTTTGAACAGCCATTAATTACAGTGGGTACATGTGCGTGAGTTAAATCAATGCTTTCTTTTCAAATTAAATGTCTGTGTTTTCAGTGCACGTGGTGGGGGCCAATTGCTGTTCCTAGAATCAGTCCTGGACCACAAACAGCCACTGCTGGTGAGACTGGAGTCTCTCTTTTCTCTCTTAGGCCCATTTTTGAGGAAACGGTGTCTGATAAGATGATGTTGTCTTTTTGAGTGCAGAAGGTGCAACTGGGATGCAACAGCAGTGGAGATTGGTTTAAGCTGGCAGCACGTGCAAAGAATAAAATGGCTGTGAGATTGACGTTTGGGCTTTAAGGAAGTTGCTAACCATCAGAGGGCACAGAGCTGCAGGAAGGAATGCTTTATTGGCTCCACAGTGGAGTGTGCCCAGTTTATGAAAGGGTGTGTAAGACGCAGTTGTGCTTTGCAGTATGGAATTGAGTTTCATGAGCTGGACTGCCCTGGCAGCCCTCTGCCCTGTTATCCTTTCACCTCAATGATCAGACAGCATGATCTTGTATCTCTTGTAAAGTGGCAATTGTGATGCAGTACAGAGGTGGATTCTTTATCATTGAAATGAAGACCAGATAGACTGAGATCTGTTGGCTTCACGTGGGCAAATAGCTACTGGTTGGGAATAACTTTTGGTGAGGGATCTCTGATTTTATGTTGCTCTGAGGTATTCTAGCTGAATGTAGGCATCTCTTTTAGGATGCAGTGAATCGTGTTCAGATTGCTGTATTGTGGAGGCTTAGCTCACCTGTGCTGGAAACAACCCCAGCTCCCAGGTGGATCCCATCCTGTTGTCCACTGGTTTGGAGGGGATTGGGGTAAGTGAAGTGAAGTCTCACTCCCACCATTAGAAGACATGCATCTGTGTGTTCACATGCAGAATTGGAATAAAACTTTCACTAGGGCATTTGTTATATGATCTTTCTAGCCTTTTTTATTCCCCAAAGAGTGTTTACAGTATAATTTATAGCACTGTTAAGAAAAAGTCTTCTGTAGATGTTATTACTGTGCAGATGGCAGGTGTCTTGCCTGCCCAGTGCAGGAGGTGATGCACACAGTGCTCATCTCAGTCTTGGTGCAGAGCGTGTTCCTAAGTGACCTAAAAACCAGTAATGTTGCCTGTACTTATCCTACAGTGTGATATAGGGGACCTTTGCTGGGTTTGACATGATGGAAATTGGGCATTGGTTGTTCCTTCCTTTCTCACAAAGCCCAGAGAAGGTATTGCTGAGCTGCATCGCAGATGTGCCTGGCTGTTCAACTGGGTGGCGTTTTGTAGTTTTGTCATGTGGGAATTGGCTGGCTTTTCTTTGCAGGCCACATGCTGATCTCGTGGCAAGCATGGCAGGGTTGCAGTAGTTCAGATACTGAGAATGGCACAAATCATAGCTGCACGTAGATGTCACACGTGTGTGAATCATTTAGAATGAATCACAGCATGGCTTCAATTGGAAGAGACCTCAAAGATCACCTAGTTACAACCGCCCTGCAAAAGGGGGCTGGTTTTCTTTTTACTCCAGATTCTTTAATTTCCCACCCTAAATGTGTTCTGATTCTCTCTCCATGCTGGTCTCATAGTTGTTCTCCCTGCAAACTTTGCCTCATTTGACTTCCATAGAGTATTGCAACATCATGGTTTAGTAGGCATGGTGGGGATGGGCTGACAGTTGGGCGAGATAATCTTAGTGGTCTTTTCCAACCATTAGTATGCCCTAACAGCACTATTGCTGAAGTGATGGTGGTTCCTGAGTATTCTTGGCTTCAGTTTTCCTCCTTTAAACTAAAAGTAATGCTATTTTCGTATCTAGAAGGGGTAAGTTAAGGACAAGTACATTGAAATGTGTCCAGTTGCACTTTTTTATGATTTAGACTTCTAACAGAATTGTGCATAGATAGAATATGAAAGGCAGTATTTTGGCAGCACCTACAGTCTAAATTCACAGGAAAATATTATGTATCTGCAGAGCAATAACACTTCCAAAGAGAAATCCCATGGAGTTTAGGTTAGATAAGTCAGGTTTTCTATCTTCTTCCAGTGAATCTGTATGTAGTATCACGCATCACTCTGAATTGGCTGTGGGTGCAGATTTTGTGGGTGATATTTTCCTAGAAGCTGCCAACAGAGGTTCCCCAAGGAACTCAAATTATATCCAACATACACAAAACCACATTCCCCTGTACACTAGTGCCAAGCAGTGCAAAGTGAAGCAAGCAGAGGCAAGAGCTCAATTCCTGACAGTGCTCTGGCATTTGATGTTGGTGGGACATAGAGCCTAGGAGTTCATCAGCCAGTTCCTGGGGGAGTTCTGCCTGGGCAGCTGCAGGATCTGTTCACTGAATCATTAAGGTTGGAAAAGACCTATAAGATCATC